CCCAAAGACTGGCGGGCCTCATGGGGATAGAAGCACAGGGGAGGAGCAGGGCAGAAGGCTGGTCTCACTGGGAACCTTCCCCTTCCCCAGACCTACCTTTACCATCTGAAAAGCAGGTCCGTTCATGAACACATGAAAGTACAATTACCAACAGGAAAGAACAAATAGTTAATTCCCCCAAGAAAGGGAAATTTATAGAAAGGGCCTGGCTTCTGTAATCAAGGTAAAGCCCACTGATTTTTTAACCAAACATTTTAATATCTACCCTCAATGTCCACCTGCTTATCCAAACTATATCATTCTCACACTTCACAGGAATGCAGCCAAGGACCCATTTGATCTCAGAGTCATGGGCATTCTCGTCCCCTTAACAGTTACATGTGCCTTCATTCAGCCCCATGTTCTCTCAGGTCATTTTCAGTTACAGATGGGTACAATGGCTTTGTCAGACCCCATCTTCCCCTGTGCTCACAATCTCACCAGCACTGCCCTCCAACCCTCAGCCATAAGCTGATCAGGAGCCATTTCCTCACACAGCCAAGACCTTTACTAGGCACCTACTTGGTGTCTGGCTCCAGCAGACAAACATCAAACACAACTCAACATTCTGACTTTATGTGCAGAACCCAGTAGGAGCTCAGTGGGAACTAAGGGGAAACAAGAGAGGAAAGAAGATTCTGGGACACGTCAGAGAAAGGAATGACCAGGATAAGTAGGGACTTTGCTACTTGTTCCAAACTCAAATCCTGTCAGTCAACATTGACATCTGAAGCAGGAATTACAGAGCTAGCACTGCCCTGCTCTTGGTCAGAGGGAGTAACTGAGTCTTATGGGTCATTTTTCAAGCCAGGAATGCTGCCGGGTGCACACTCAGAGCCCCATGTTGCTGCTGGCTACTTAGATCCTGCCTCTAGGGCTTAAGAGCCAGGCAAGCAAGGAGATCAGGGGCAGGGCCAGAACAAGGGAGCATGGAGAGGGTCTTTGGTGAGGTCAACTTTCTGCTTGATGAAAGTGCTTGAGGACACAAGCCAGGCACCCAATCAGACACTTTATATTCATGTTCCTAAAGGAGGATCCAGTAGAAAAACTAAAACAGAAGCAAGGACAGAGAAGACACCAATCAATAATAGTGAGCAGAGGGTGAACAGCGGACATGATAAAGACAGGAGGAAATTCTAGAGACCATAAAAAGAACAAACCAAAACTCCCACATCAGATACAAGCACTGGGGCATTTCTCTTCAGAGCCATCTCTCTGTCCCTTTGTCAATAAACCTGCTGCTTGCTTCATATATCTGTGTCCTTTTCTTCAATTCGTTGCTGAACAAGGACAATGAACCCCGCACACCTAGATGGTAACACCACCACACTCAATCCTTCCCTCCCTGGAGTTGA